TATATACAGAGAGAGAGAGAGGTAGATATATAAGGTAGATTTTTCTAACTATCACTCTGCTTCTCACTGCATTTACGCTTTTTATTCATAAAATTTTTTCCCTTTCTGCGTAAAAATAACTCAAGCAAAATATTTTGGGATACTACAATAAATATTCATGCGATAAAATATTCTAAAATTAAAATAAAATGAGTCATTAGGAGCAATTGAGAAGTTAAAAAAAAATAAAAGGGAGTATCAGAAATCCATTTCATCGATTGAGTAAGGCTAAAAATGTAGTTTGATTCATTTGGTATTCTTACCAAGTGGTGTTCCATTTCCGAACTATTATGAAGGATTTCAAAAGCAAAACCTTCTCTGTTATTTATTTCACTTCCAATCGTAAAAATAATACTAAGAAAGTTATTTGCAGTAATATTAGTAAAGTTGTTCAATGACATGCTTTGAATTGATTAATGATCTTCAGGATATGGTAAGTTTCAAGTGATTAGCATATTTAAAGTTATTATAGATTTCAAATAAGTAATTATATTCAAATATTCATGATTTACAAAATGCTCATTGAAAGCTATACTTTATAATATTCTGACTCTAATTTCTTATATAGTCATTCACATTTCCTTCAACATCAGAGTTCCGGGAGAAATATATTTATCTGTAGTAGCGAACTAAAGCCGAATTTTATTTTTAAATAAACATAACTTTTAAAACATTGATCAAGACCTTTGAGCATAACCATTTCTCTATCTAACCTTTCAGATGTCTGTTTAAATTATTTGCATGCAACGGGGGCAAAATTCTTTTAACTAAAATTTATTAAAACACTGATACATTACTTTTTTGCCATTTTCAAAGTTATTTTCTGAAACTACGGAAATCCCTTAGTAATTGGAGAATATGGCTTTCACTCAAACTTCAAAAGGTATGCTGCATCAAATTTTACACATTTTTTCTAAGATCAGTTGTCGTAAATGTACGACGAGTACAACTCACAAGCTTTCCAAAAATTGTTTTCGTTGGCCAAATATTTAAGTTACCATAATCTTCCAAAATTTGTGAACTTAAAATGTTTCATAATTTTAAATCATTATCGAAATCATCGAATATATATTCAATCACAGTTTTTATGATGCAAGAAACAATGTTAGGAACGCATTTCGTTTCTATTGCAAAATTATCTAGTTTTGATGTATTTACCCAAGTCAAATTTGTATCAATTAAATATTAATAAGGGGCAGTAAAAATTTATCGTACTATTATTGACAATAAATTGACTTGTGGTAATAGGTCAATAAGTGTGCTTAAAAGTAACAGTTATTGTGGTAATAATTAATGTACTAATAAAGGTACATTATATAGGTGATATGGTAGTAGGTTTTTACGGATTCGACTTAACGGATAAGTACGTAGTAATAATTAGGAATAAATACGCAATATGAAATTTTTTAATAATTTCCTCAAAAATTGAATAATTGCTTATAGTTTGATTATTCATAAATTATTGTCAATAGCTATAATTTATAAAAGATCAAAAATGCTTTTCAACATCTTTATTATTATTTATATATTCTCATGATAAATATTCCTAGGAGCCCGGAAAGATGGACCAAGGATAAATGGTGGAAAGAGTAAATACACTGTTGGTGATACTGTAAATATTAATTGCACATCGTCCAAATCTCAGCCACCTGCAGAACTACATTGGTACATAAATGACAGAGAAGTAAGGATGAGTGAACCATCATATACAGATGGGTGACAAAATAATACGAACACCTGTAAAATATCAGAAAATCTTTATTAATAAAGAGTTGGACCACCCATTGACTGAATTACAGATTTAAAAAGACGTGGTATCGATGCATAAAGGTCATTTAAAGGAATATTAGGCCATTCCTCTTGCAAAGCGTCCTCTAATTCCAAAAGATTTGATGGAAGTGGGAATCGGGAACGAAGTTTAGACTCCAAATATTGCCACAAATGTTCAATAATATTTAAGTCCGGAAACTGAGGGGGCCAGGCGAGATGCTCAACTTCATTGTCATGCTCTTCGAACCATGTTTGAACGCACCTAGCGGTGTGGATAGGGGTGTTGTCGTCTTGAAAAATTTGTCGCTCTCCAGGGAATACAGTCTGTACAAAAGGATGAACATGATCCGCTAGAACGCTTAGACAGTCATTAGATTTGATTCTCCCTTGCAGACGTACTAGTGGCTCAAGACCACGCCAAGATATCGCACCCCAAACCATAATGGAGCCACCTCCATGTTTCACAGTTGGTAAGAGGCATTCAGGATCAAACGCTTCTTTGGGTGATCTCCAGACATAAACGCGTCCGGTGTTCTGAAATAAGGTGAAGGTTGATTCATCGGACCATATTACCTGCTGCCACTGCTGTGGGGACCAGCCTTTGTGACCTCTACACCACTGACGGAGCTTGAAAGCATTGGTTGCTGTCACCAAGGGTTTACGAATTGCCACTCTCCCATAAATGTTCGCTGCATGAAGTTCTCTTTGAACAGTTCTTGTTGAAACGGGGTCCTGAAGATAACTGTTCATGTCTGATGTTATCTCGAATAACGATTGCTTGTGTTTTCGAGCTACTACGCGCTGCAAGACACGTCTATCCCAATCATCAAGCTTTGACTTTCGGCCACTGTTTTGCTTTGAAGACTTCGTCTTATGTTCTTTCATGTATGCTGTCATAACGGCTGACACAGTACTTCTTGCAAACCCCAAAAGGTTTGCTGTTTCTGTCACCGATGCTCCACTTAAACGCCTCCCAACAATCCTCCCTCTTTGCAATTCTGACAGGTCAGATATTTCACCTTATAAAAGCTAGTTAGATAAACTCATGCAACTCAGGTGACTAGTGGTGAGAGACTGATAGCTTCCTCTTCACGCTCACTAGGTGGCAGACTTCTGTTGCAGGTGGCGCGGCTGTACTGCAGGTGTGAAATAAGTCCCACTTTTTCACAGGTGTTCGTATTATTTTGTCATCCATCTGTATATACTTTTTAAACTGAAAATAGCTGTTTAGAGTAAAAATTATTTAATCACAATACTATTGCAATGCTAAGTTAGCAAAAATTGATCTTTATAATTAGCCTTTTTTTATACCGGAATGCTTGCCTAAAACTGATATATTTAAGAAAATAAAAAGACTAAAAAAAACTGTAGAAACTGTTTTAATCGCATTTGGAGACCTGGGGATTATATTTGTACAAGCGTTTTTTGGGACTTTTTACGACTTTCTCGATCAACGTTTTATATACACAAAGAATACTATTTAGTCTCTACACACTAAGAAAAATTATATATTTTCGTAAAAGGAATAACACTATTAAGGAAACGCGTTTATGTTGAAAAAGTAACGTATGTACGGTGAGAGGAAAAAAAAAAGAAATACTGAATGACTTTTGATCTAGTGATCGGATCTTCATGTTCTAAGACTCATTCTTAATGGTTTGTATTTGTGACCTCAACTATGCTAATTAATTAATGCAGAGGACGTTATAAGTAGCAAAATCAGAAGCAAAAAAATACTTTCTCTGACTAAACATGCTTGTTTAGGACAAATGAATTCTGACTCTCAAATATGAGAAGTTGCTGGTTATCTGGAAAATATGGTAATCTGGAGAGTAGTCGAAATTGTGGAACCCTTAATGTAAATTGTACTCTTTGTGGCCTAGTTCACCATATCTCGAGAACTTTTTAAGCGAATCGAAAAATTGTTACCCACAATTATAAAATTCGTTTAGCAGAAGATAATTCAGTGCAGAAAAAAAATTTATAATTATTTATTTTCTTTTTTTTTAATATTTTATTTAATTGCGGTTGCAAAAAATTTTAAATTGTAAGGCATAAGAAATTGAATTTTAAAAAAGTCGTACATTTAAAATTATATATAGAATATCAAGTTTTCATTTATATAGTGCTCGTATAATTTAAAAGAAGCTGGACAGCCCAGTTTTAATTAAAAATTTGTATGACTCATTAGAGTAGTACAAGTGAGAAATTCTTTTTTATTTTTTTATTTGTAAAATGCCAGTTACATTAGCCGTTAGGCCATTAAACTTCTTGCTTGCCAATAGCGTTGAAATATACATGAAAAATCTGTCAGTGCTTCACACTCTGCCAAATGTTCTGCCGTCATTGGCCTTCCACTATCACATATAACACACAAAGGTGAATCGGCTAGTCCAATGCGAAATAAATGATTCTGTAGACAGTAATGCCCCGTTAATAGTCTAAAAGCTACAACCGCAATTGATCGCGGGTGGTCAGGAATAAAAACTGAGTCTGTTAAAAGAACACTCCAAGGAGAAAAAAATTTTTAACGTATTTTGAAAATCTGTAGTAGAAATACTAAAAGTTTCTTTTTTTAGTTATTTGCATTGAAGTTTGAGCAACTATGTAAGTAATATTTCAATTTTAGGCCAAACTTGAACAACTCTTACTCCATAAACCTGTCACATATATTGATGGAAAAGTATCTACTGTTTTGGGACTACGGTTCACAGTTAAACATAGACATTTCCAAAAAAATGAAATGAGGTTACGTTGTACAGCCACTCTCTCGAAAGTCAAGACTATGGCAAGTGAACCTCTGGAAGCAGAGTTTTCAGAGCAACAAATGTCAGATCTGCACGTGGACTTTAATGCAGGGGCAGGTAAAAGAGCATTATTTTGATTTTTTGAATAATTTTAAAATTATAGATATCCCTGTCGGGTAGGTAATCACTATTCACTTACAACAAGTTTTTTGTCGATAGTACGAGGCGCATCCAGAAAGTAAATTTCCCTAATTTATTTAAAAAAAAGAACTCACACTTTCAGGAACATATTTATTGGAAACTAGTACAGCAATGTTTCAGCTATTTTTCTACGTAGCCACCACCAGAGTTGAGACACTTGTCGTATCGTGGGATCAACTTTTGTATCCCTTTGTCGTAGAATTCTGCCGCCTGTGAATGAAACCAGCTTGTGACAGACGTCTTCAGCTCTTCGTCATTGCCAAAACGCTCAGCGGAGGACAGAAATCTCTTGATGTGCTCAAAAATTGCTGGGAGCAATGTCAGAGCTCTAGGGTGGATGATCAAACAACTCCCACCCAAATTCCGTCAAAAACTGTGCGTCGTGCCGTATGTGGACAAGCATTGTCATGGAGGAGCACAACACTTGCTGTAAGCATTCCACTACTCTTGTTCTGAATGGCACGTCGCAATTTCCGCAGTGTTTCACAGTAACGGTAGACGTCTGTNCAATTTTTCAACATATCCACCACAAGAATTGAGACACCTGCCGTATCGTGGAATCAACTTTTGTATCTCTCTGTCGTAGAACTCTGCCGCCTGTGAATGGAACCAGCAAGTGACAGGCGTCTTCCGCTTTTCATCGTTGCCGAAATGCTCACAGGATTACAGGAATTTCTTGAGGTGCAAGAAAATGTAAAAATCGCTGGAAGCAATATCAGAGCTCTAGGTTGGATGATCAAACAACTCCCAACCAAATTCCGTCAAAAAAGCTACTGTGCGTCGTGCCGTATGCGAACAAGCATTGTCACGGAGGAGCACAACACTTGCTGTAAGCATTCCACTACTCTTGTTTTGAATGGCACGTCGCAATTTCCGCAGTGTTTCACAGCAACGGAAGACGTCTGTCACACGCTGGTTCCATTCACAGGCGGTAGAGTTCTACGACAGTGGGATACAAAAGTTGATCCCACGATACGACAAGTGTCTCAATTCTGGTGGCGACTATGTAGAAAAATAGCTGAAACATTGCTGTACTAGTTTCCAATAAATATGTTCCTGAAAGTGTGAGTTCTTTTTTTTTTAATAAATTAGGGAAACTTACTCGAAAAAAATGTTAATGATGCTGAATAATTCAAATTATTTTTTTTTAATTTTTCTCTCATTAAATACTTGTATTTTCAAACACTATATAATTCAAAACGCATTCATGCATGTTTAATATCTTTTAAATTTTTACAATAATTTCAGTAATGTCTTTTAAATCCTTATTATATTAGTACAATAATATCTTTTAAGTTCTTTAAAACAGTCTTTTCAATTTAAAATTCAAGATATTTATTCGATTTTCTTTCCAGTTCCCAGTGGAAGCTTTCATAAACATGACTCATTTACCAAGATTTCATTTTCGGTGCTTTTGACTTTTATTTCGCAATATTTGATTTGAGGAAACCGTTTCAACTTTTATGAAATTTGACCATCATCTTCCTTCTTTTAATCTCTGTGATTTCAAATTTGAAATGGATTGATGATATCTGTGATGATTGAAGTACACAGAACGAAGAATTCAATGCCAATTGATGTCCATGTTGTCACTGAATGATATACCATCACACTGTTACTTTGTGTTTTTTGGAAAATAAAAAATTTTGGAAAAGTTCAACGCTCGAGAATTGGAGAAAGAAAATATCCTCAGATATTTTCTCACATCTCATCAGAAACTCCATTCAATATATGCATCATCACGAAAAGAATGTTTTGTGAAACTGATACAGATATGTTCCTGATTAAGACCTCAGTTAAGTTTAAAATATTAATAAAAAAAGCAATTTCCACGGCTTCTGTTCACTACATGTAAATCATATCTTTATTTACTTTAATTCTTTTCAACATATTTAACAACTAACTTAATGAAACTCATTTCATTGGCCTTAATTTCGATCGAGTAAAAACGCCAACAAGAAGTAGAATAAATGAATAAAACTCAAATGAATTTGATGAAACTGATGAACTCCAATGATTTTTTCTCTTGATATTTTACGTCGATTGCATCGGGTTTCCTAGTTGTAATGTTTTAATTAAACCACATGTGAGTAAAAACTTTTCACTTAAGCGTCATTGCAAAGCTCTGTTGATGATTCTCCATGATTTTCTTAAATTGAGAAAAAATTATGGAAAATGAGAAATATATCAGTACAAATTCATTAAGAGTTGTAAAAAAAATGATGAAAATTTTCAATAAATATATCTTTGGAAGAGTTAGTGGCTCCCAGCATTTCAGTCCCTAAACATTACTTTACAAAATTGAGCTATAAACGCTATGTTCTTAACAAATTTTATTGCATCTTTGCGACTAGTAAAGTGCTGAGTTATAGAACTGGAATACTTCAATACAATTTACATGAATTTAAAAAAATGTCGTATCGAAAGGTTTCCAGATAGTTCCAACAGAAATTCTCAGTAAGAGAAATTCATAAAATACTTTTTTGCTATACGTCAAAGATATGAAGTAACCATAAAGAGTGGTTATAAGAAAAGAATCCATTATCATTGTATATTTTTTCTGTTTTCCAGAATTTTAACATTCGAATGCATTCTAAATCAAGTTTGAAAAAGCAAAGTTTACTGGCGTGAAGGCTACTTTCATGTCTACTAACAGAGATAATTTGTTAAACGAAACTGATAACTATATTACATAAGTTATATTACCAGTTTAACATTTTCAGCATGCAGTTAATAAGCTATACACACTTGATAAAAACTCAAAACCACATCTGTTTATTTTCTACAAAAAACAATCTGATATAAGTTAATTTATTTATTGGTGCTATGTTGAAAATGCTTTATAAATTTTTTCTAATGTCGAAGTGTAGCTCTTTACGTTATTTAAATCCGAAAAAAACATTACTATATACAAAGAATAATTTATTTAGAACGATTTATTAAGAATGAATTTGCAAACCTCCAAACATTCAAATGAAAACTCAGTCTGCAATTTTAAAAACTGTTTTCTTTTAAAACAATTTTTTTTTAGTTCGCAATATTTTATTTTAAATAATAAATAATCACTATTTGTTTCGTAGCTTTACATTTCATTCATAATTTTTAGAGAAATTTTTATTTCAGATCATTATGCATTGAAAAAAAATCTAATGTAATGTATATTTTTTATCTTGTCATATTGTATCTTTTCTTCTGCGCATAGGTTTCAGGATATTAAAATATTTTGTACTAGGGGCTACTTGTTCTCCAACTTGATTTTTGTCTGTAATTCAAACTTTCATGATACAAAAATCGATAAAAGAAATGTTTACAAAAAAAAACACTTTAAAATGTTTTTTTTATTTTAAAAAAGGACAGCTTTCCTTATAAATATGCAAAAAAGATGAAATAATTGAGGCATTAGGGAAATACAGGACAGCATGTGCAATATTTACAGGGGGTTCGAAATCCTTTATAAAAAAATCTTTCATTTCATTTCATGTTTGTAAAAAAAATACGTAAGCTAAACTGAAACTGAATAAACTGAAAAATAAACTTAATCTGTCTATGTTTGTTACATCAATAATTGGCAAGCTGTGGATCGTGAAAAACGTGTGACGTTTTTGCGATTCGCGATCAGCTTAAATTTGGATCAAATGCGGGGGAGAGAAGTTTTAAAGCAGAGTTTGCTAGTCACTGTCTTACGTAATTACAATTCATTTCTAAGATCACAATTAATCATAACTTCAAAATTCAGGTTCAAACTTCACAACCCAACAGATGCTAAAAGTATGAATTCCACATAAAATATATTGTTCATATCGATTTTTTTTTTTTTTTAGTCATAAAGTCGACACATTGTAAGAACACTTCTGGTAACACCTTTTCGATCTTGCAAGCATATTTTCGTTCTCTTGGTTAAGTTTTCAATTACTGTTTGACATATTTGGGGTTGAATTTAAACGTTAAGACGTTTAAGTGGGTTGCGAAATTGTTTATGAGAACGTTTGACTGCAAAAACTCAAAGAAGAAAATAACTAAATGCTAAATCACAAGAACAAGGTTTCAAATTACTAGCAGACGAATTTAATTTGGGTTCGATATTCATCGAAATTCTATTTCTTTCCAAAATTACCATGTTTTTGGGTTAGGGGCTACATCTTTGAATAAGAAAATAACTATCTCATTTCACTGTTATTTGACTGTTATTATTATTACTTTTTAAATAATAAATTTCAATTGAACTCCGTAATTTTGGTTAAAACTCCAGTTTTATTTTGAATTATTCATACTATTAATTGCAAACTGAGCCTATGTCATAATTTCTTTTTCTTCACACAAAAACTGTCAAAATTTGCATTTATATTATATTTTCTTGTAAAATATGAAATAAATCATGTCTATATCCGAAATAATTTAATAAAATCTTTTTAAATAAATGTTGTATGAGTATTTTTTCTAATATTCCTGCATTTTATTTCTTTTATTCTTTTATTTATTTATTATTTTTGAATTTTATTTATTTATTATTTTTGAATTTTATTTCAACACAAAATAAAACGACGAGTCTATTTTTTTAGCATTTAAAGTTTTGTGGAAACAGGAGTACTTGCACCTGCAAAATTTAACATGAAAGCCGACATGTATCGCGAAAATATTGATCAAAAGAGAGCTGCAAAGTGACAAATCTTTGCAGAAGACCGCCTGGATTACCGAAGAAAAATTTAAAAAGCAAAATATTTAAAGTACAGATTTTAGAGAATATAATAAGATAATGTTTTTTTGGAAGTGACTAGTATGCTTATTTCCATCAAATGCCAATTTATCAATTATATTTCTTTATTTCTCCAATAGGAATTCTAAACTAATATTTCAATATTTTTTCTAAAAAAGAATATGTTATGAGATCGTTTAAATATTGAATTAATATTTCCCTCAATCAAAACTCATATAATGTACCCATAACAAATTCATTAGCAAAAAATATATATATATATATATGTAATATAGATTGTATCATACGCGTCTTTCTATATTAATTCATATAATTTAAAATGAATTATCTTATTCGTTTTTAAGGCGCATAAATCTTTCTTTCACAAAAAGTCATTTTTTCCTTCAAAGGATTATTTTCTGAAGTTCTTGAAAATATACTCATTACAAATATCCCCGAAATTCCCCTGAGTTTTTATGGCGCCATCTGTTAAAGCGAATCGAGATTGTTAAATTTTTCCTTTTGGGTGACGTTTGAGTAAGTTAGACATTCTAGCAACCAATTCCCTTTTTTGAATCTCAAAATAAAAACGGAACGCACCAATTTCGCATGGCTTTTTCATGATGCAACTGCAAGTAAAACTAACGCTCCAATGGTCAAACATCAAGACCCTGACTGGGGAACCTCTTCCTTAACGAATTCGCACTAAGGTGTTGAGAAAAGTTTTTAAAAAAAAACCACTTTGTGCGTCGTTTATGGAAATTACATGTTTTTTTTCTACAAAACATATCTGTCAAGCTTAGATATATACTTCAATTAAAATAAATTTTGTTGTATTTTTAGGATTGAAAATAAATCCCTTAAACATGTTCTTCTAGTTTTTAAACACAAGCATTTTTATGTAAAACTGTAAATTTTTTCATTAGTTATAGATTTTCCTTAAAAAGATACTGAAAGGATTTCAAAATTGCTATTAATTCAAACTACTCTTTTTTGTCGAATAATGCTCGAATTCTCTTAATATTTTTTTTTTCGAATGGCAGGCACTGAATTTTATTCATTTCGCCTTAGATGCGAGAGGTTTTACTCATTTCGCGTTACCCAGTGGGCACCTGTGAACCAAAGTCACGGAGGCGAGTAACATTGTCCACGCCACACTGCCACAAACTCGTTCATGGGGTGGGCCACATTCACACATCACACCCAACAGAGGACAACACAAGAGAGAGAAACATCCTTTTCCCAGAGCGGGGTTCAAACCCGCGGTCATTGGCATCGCAGTCAGGCGCGCTAACCGCTCTGCCACCTGGCCGGCAATTCGCTTAATATAATCTTATTCATCACAGTTTTGGGACTTAAGTTTAAGAAAGCATATTTCGGTTAAAGCTAGATTAAAATTTATCCGAATTTGAAAGTTTATGTAGACAGTTATTTAAGAAATTATTCAATTGCATTTCTCTGAATTATTAGAAGATCAATTATTCTATGTCTATTACGAAACTATTAAAGGTAATGTCTGAAGAAAAGTTTGGAAAAATTCATTCGTGTATACCAATTATTTTAATGAACTAGACGTAAATGCCATCAACTACTCACAGCATAAAGAATTCGATTTAAAAGTAATGGAGATAATTATTATGAAGATGAATGAAATTCAATGAAAATTGTATTTTTATGAGAAAGTTTGTATCATAATCCCAGAGGTAAAGTAGAAAGTTAAATTAAATTCGTATTTTAATAAGCCTCTTAAAAATTGCGAAAACTTTAATCTGTTACTTAGTTAAGTTAGATAGAGAACTGGTGGGTGTTTCAAAAGTATTACTTACAACAAAAATACAGATGTGGGCGTCTGGCAAAAAAAAAATATTAAATATGAAATCAAATACTAATTTAAAAATATCAATTTTAAGAAATAGGAAACTATAACAACAAAACTTACAACAAAAATACAGATCAGGGCGTCTGGCAAAAAAAAAAATTATTAAATATGAAATCAAATACTAATTTAAAAATATCAATTTTAAGAAATATGAAACTATAAGCTAATTTTTATAAAATTAAACTAACAAAATTGTATTTAAAAATATAAAAAAAGAAAAAGAAAGAATGAAAATTGCCGACAAAAACTCCTATTTTTCTTACTATAAATTAGTTATTGTATGTAAGTTAATCGTATGTTATGTAAGTTATCGTAGAAAGAAGCAGAGATAAAAAAAATTTAACAAATAAATAGTTTAAATGCCGTATATTTAGGTTTTATTAACTGGAATTAATAAAACCTAAGGAGAGGACTTGAATCAAATACTAATTTAAAAATATCAATTTTAAGAAAGATGAAACTATAAGCTAATTTTTATAAAATTAAACTAACGAAATTGCATTTAAAAATATAAAAAAAGAAAAAAAAAGAATGAAAATTGCCGACAAAAACTCCTATTTTTCTTATTATAAATTAATTATTGTATGTAAGTTAATCGCGTGTTATGTAAGTTATGGTAGAAAGCAGCAGAGATAAAAAAAATTAACAAATGAATAGTTTAAATGCCGTATATTTAGGTTTTATTAACCGGATTATGTTTTTTCTTTTTACCAAAAATACAATTACAATACAGTATGGCAATGATAACAAAATTTACTTTTTTGTGCAATCTTGAAGTATAAATAAAAAGCTCAATTAAACTAAATTCTCAATTAAAAGTCATTCTATAAACCTTTTAAAAATTGCGATTACTTTGCTCACGTAAATTAAGTTACATGTGAGTGGTTCAAAAATTTTAGTAGCAACAAGAGATACAGGTGAGGGCGTCTAATAAAAAAAAAATATCAAATCAAATACTAATATAAGAACATCAAATTATAAGCTTATTTTTATAAAAATCAAATTAGCAAAATAGAGCCGTGGTGGCTCTGAGGATAGAGTATTCGCCTTCCAATGCGGTGAGCTGGGTTCGAATCCCAGCGATACGAATTCTGCACCCGGTTTGCACCGACCACACTGCTGCTGTAATATGTCCTCAGTAGTAGACGGATCATAGGTTAGAGTCCCCTTGCCGTAAGGCTAGCAGGGCTCGTGTTTTCCGGGTTTTCTTCTCCATGTAACGCAAATGTAGGAGAGTGCCTTCAAAAAGTCCTCCAGGAAGGCACATTTTTCCCAATACTTGATCCAGGAGTTCCCTTGTTTTCTGGATTGGGTTCAAAATTACCAGGCTACAGATTTGAACAATAGTAGTCGTAAATCCAAGAAATTAGGTCTGCTCTTCAACGACGGTTATAAACTGCAAAATAAAACAAACAAAATGGTGCTTAAAA